CGAGCGGGGGCCACGAAAGGCAGATAATGCGGGGCCGCAGAAGGCAACGATGGGGCCACTGAGGGTAGCAACTGGGCCACGTAGGACAGTGAGGGGGCCACAAACGGCGACAGCGGGGCCACGAAGGGCATGCACATGGGGCCACAACGGGCGCGATTCCTGGGTGCCTGGGTGTCGGGAGAGCGGCGCTGGAGCAAATTGCAAGAAATTCCAACGCAAGGGCGCTTTTCTTCAGTAAATTGCAAGCAAGTCTCCAGCGAGAGCGCGACTCCAGAGCGCCGGGAGAGTGATTCCTGGATAAATTGTAAGGAAGAGGAAGTCCCAAGCGAGAGCGCGATTCCTGAATAAAATGCGACGAAGTCTCGGGCGGGAGCAGGGGTCTTGGCTAAATTGTGAGGAAATCTCAGGCGGGAGCCGTTGTTGTTGTAACACGGGGGCCAAGGGCCCAGTTTGAGCATCAATACTTTCCCTGTCAAAAAACAGGGTGCGAGCGTCGAGGGGCACACTTTGATTGAGAAAAAGATGCACCGGTGGGGTGGATCAACAATAATTATTCTTCAGAAATGAGAGTTCAACAACAAGAATCACAACAACAACAACCACAACAACAACAACAACAAGAATAACAACAACACCAACAACAACAAAAACGACGCCGACGACGACTACGACGACGACGACAGCAACAACAAAACGACGACGACGACGACGACGCTGACGACGAGGACGACGACGATGACGGCGACGACAATAACAACAGTAACAGCAACAAGAATAACAACAACAACAACGACACCACTAGAGACAACGACGACGGCAATAACTCCAACTACAACACCAATCCCGTCATCATCATCATCATCATCAACCGCATCATCATCATCATCATCATCATCATCATCATCATCACCATCACCATCACCATCACCATCACCATCACCATCACCATCACCATCACCATCATCCTCCTCATCATGATCATCGTCACCATCGTCATCGTAGTAGTCATCAACATCGTCACCATCATCGCATTACCATCATCACCATCATCATGTCAATCGTAAGCACCGCCACCATGACAATCATCAAAAACATCATCATAACCATCATTATCGTCATCTGAAGCCCATCATCACCATCACCTGCAGCATCGCCATAATCATCAGCAACCTCATTAGCATCATCATCATCATCATCAGCAGCAGCATCAGCATCAGCATCAGCATCATCATCATCATCGTCATCATCATCGGCATCAGCATCAGCATCAGCATCATCCTCATCATCGTCACCATCATCAGCAGCAGCATCATCATTATCAGCAGCAGCATCATCATGAGCATCATCACCATCATCACCATCAACATCAACAACATCGTCCTCCGAACATACATCATTATCATGTTCCTCATCAACTTCATGATCATCAGCAGACACAACGTACTCATGAGCAGCATCAGCAACAGTATAAGCCTCATCATCGTCATAATCCTAAGCATCGACATCATCAGCAGCATCATCATCCTCAATAACATCACCACCATCATACCGTCATCACCGTCATCATCATCACCAGATCATCATCATCATCAGCATCATCATCATGATCAGCATAATCATCATCTTCAGCAGAGCAGCAGCTTGATCATCATCGTCATCCGCAGCAGCATCAGCGTCATCGGCATCATCATCATCGTCATCATCACCATAATCATCAACATCATCAGCATCAGCATCATCAACATCAGCATCATCATCGTCATCAGCATCATCATCACAACTACCACCATCATCATCATCATCATCATCATCAGCATCATCGTCATCATCATTAGTATCATCATCAGCATCATCATCATCGACATGTTCATTGTCGCCATCATCGCCATCATCATCAGCATCATCAGCGTCATCATCAGCGTCATCATCGTCGTCATCATTAGCAGCAGCAGCATTGTCAGCATCAGCAGCATTATGATCAGCATCGTCATCATCACCATCAGCATCATCGACATCATCATCAGCATAAGAATCAGCATGATCATCGTCGTCGTCTTTATCACCATCGTGATCGGAATCAGTACATGTATCTTCATCGGCATCGTCATCATCGTCAGATTCATGTCCATCATCATCCACCTCATCCTCCTCATCATCAGCATCGTCAGCCTTTTTATAAGCATTGGCATCATCATCAACAGCAACATCATGATCAGCATCATCATCAGTACCGTCGTCATCACCATCATAATGATCAACATCATCATCATCATCATCATCATCAGCAGCAGCATCATCATCATCATCAGCAGCATCACCCTCGTCATCATCACCAGCAGCAGCATCATCAGCGGCAGCAGCATCAGCATCAGCATCAGCATCAACATCATCATCAGCATCATCATCATGAGAGCATCATCACGGGCATCATCATCGGCAGCAGCATGACCATTATCATCGGCTTCGGCATGCCCCGTTCAGCACACCACTCACACGCGTCGTTGCCCCATAGGGAGCTACACCTGAGGCCCCAGTGGCAGGGTCCGCATGTGGGCATCACCCCCGTTTTCGGCACACCCCTCACAGGGTCCGTGGTCTCATGGGGAGCTCCATCTAAGGCCCCCATGCCAATGCCAGCACGTGGGCGTCACCACCGTTTTCGGCACACCCCTGAAGCGCTTCGTGGCCCCAAAGAAAGCTCCAACTGAGGCCCCAGTGGCAGGGCCCACATGTGGGCGTCACCACTGGACATGGAGCTCCACCTGAGGCCCCAGTGGCAGGGTCCGCATGTGAGCGTCACAACTGCTTCGGCACACCCCTCACACGCGTCGTGGCCCCATGTGGAGCTCCACCTGCGGCCCTAGTGGCAGGGTCCGCATGTGGGCGTCACGCCCGCTTCGGTATACTACTCACACGCTCTCGGCCCCATAGGGAGTTCCACCTGAGGCCCCCGTGGCAGGATCCGCCCCCTCCCTCCCTCCCTCCCTCCCCCATCATCCATCCTCTTCCTCCCCCTCTTTCCTCATAATTCCTACCCCCTGTGATCTGTGTCCTCCTCTTTCCCTTTCCCTTTGCCCCTCCTCGTAGCAAGTTTTGCTCCAGCGATGTTTGCAGTATGTCTCGCCAGTGTCAGAACCTATGGACACAGAAGAATGTCTTCCCGAAGTTGGAGAAAACCATAAAGTGAAGGCGCGGGGGGTGGTCGCATAGCTTTGCAACTATAGTGACCAGGTTGCTGCCAATAGAACTATCTTCCAAACTGAAGGAGTTGCATTGCTAACTCTGCCAGCAACTTCCAGATGGCAGGTCTGGCGGTAGGTCCTTGAACTGCACTGGGATGAGTCAGATGAAGTGCGGGTGATGTTTGATAGAGTTTTCCAAACCATCCTGTGGTGTTGGACACACGCCTTGAATCAGCAGCGCCCCGCGCCCCTCCTCACCTCCTCCTCCTCCTCCTCCTCCTCCTCCTCCTCCCCCTCCTCCTCCTCCTCCTCCTCCTCCTCCTTCTCCTCCTCCTCCTCCTCCTCCTCCTCCCTCCTCACCATCATCCCATCCCTGCCTCTGCCCTCCGCATGCCCATTTCGGCACACCCCTCACGCGCTTCGTGGCCCCAAAAGGAGCTTCACCGAAGGCCCCAGAGGCACCGTCCACAGGTGGGCGTCGCGCCCGTTTCGGCACACGCCTCACACGCTTCGTGGCCCCATAGGGAGCTCCAACGAAGGCCCCGGAGGCGCATTCCACATTTGCGCGTCACGCCCGTTTCGGCACACGCATCACATGTTTCGAGAGCCATAGAGACCTCCACCGAAGGCCCCAAAGGCGCCGTCCACATGGGGAACGTCATGCCCGCTTCGGCACACCCCTCACACGTTCCGTGGCCCCATAGAGAGCTCCACCGAGCACGATACTACACACAACTGGTGGTAGTCACAACTGCACATGGTTGGGCCCTTCGCCGGGATGACTTTCCTGTCATCCCGCGGGAGCCAGGGCGATGGCAACGACGCAAACAACGGCGCCAAATGTGAACCTTCCAAAGGGGCACGGCTGGGCTGTACCGTGGGCCCGTTGCCGGTGACCACCGGTGCCCTTCACTCGTGGCTGCTGCTGGTCGCTGTGCTGCCGCTGGCTCTGCTGCTTGCTTCTGGCGATCGGCAGATTGTCCAATCTTGATGTCCTCGGTGGGCCTCTCGTCTGGCCACCCTGGGGCGTGGTCCTTTTCGGGCCTCGCGGGCCAGGTTGGGACCCTTGGAGACCGCTCGGGCCCTTTCTCTACGTCTGGGAGCCCACTGGAAGGGTCAGGGGGCCTTCTCGAGGCGGGCTTGGGTCGTCTCGGGGCTGGCGTCGGGCCATCTTGGAGGCCAGCCAGGCCCATCTTGGGCCACCTTGGGGGGGTCCTATGCCCTCATCCAGTGCGTCTCTTGCGGGCTTGAAGGGCTTCTTTAACGGTGCGACCGAAATGAGTACGAAAAGAATGGGAACGAAGACCGACAGAAGCTCCTGCCCATTCGAACAGGACTCGCTGTCGGCGTCGCCGCAGACGTGGTCCATTTCAGACAGAAAGTCGCTTGCCCCACAGCGGCCGCTGTCGGATTTACGAGTTGGACAACATTTGCTCGTGTCCATTTGTCATACCCATTTCGGGCGTCCAAATCTTAGAGGTGTCCAGGGCCCTCTGCGGAACAAAGGAGCCAAGAAGTGGGAGGGGTGACAATGTTTGAAAACCTTTGAAAACTCACCACTGTCACCAAGACTCGGCAGAGCCATCTTTGAGCATCTCGGAGTCACGTCGGCATCATCTTGGAGCGTCCTGGGTGCGCCCACTGGGCCGTCTGGGGCTCTCGGGACTGCCCTGGGAGGCGCTGGGGCGCTTTCGGAGCTCCTGGTCGGAGGCTTTTCGTCCCCATCGTCGCCTCCGACCTGGGGCCCCCACGGGGCCCAGCAGGAGCTCTCGATGAGGAGGTCGCCTTGGCACGCGTGGGCTCCGGCGCAGAAGGGACGGCATCGGGCTCCAGTGTCGCCTCCCGCATCTCGCCGAGAAGCGCCAGAGCCTGCTGCCACTGCTCCCCCCTCTCGCACGCGCTGATCCCAGCGTTGTAGCTGACCAGGGATGACCCGTGGAACAACGACCACGAAACAATTCCTGACATGCGAATTTGAACGTCGCTTGCCGGCTTGACTGCTTGCAGGCTGTCTCGCTGCCGCGGCTGCTCGCCTACCAGCCCCTGATGATGATCTTGCCATGTGCATGCTTGAGTGCTGCCCAGATTGCCTGATTATTGCTTGCTTGATGAAATACTTGCCTCATTGCTTGACCGTCCGCTCGCGGCAGATTTCTGCTACTTGGATTGACTGCTGCTACTTGCTCTCGTTCGTTGTGTATTGCTGCTGCTGCTGCTGCTGCGGCTGCTGCTGCTGTTGCTGCCTGCTGCTTACCTGTGCATGCTGCCTGTTGCGGCTAGATGCCGCTGCTTGCTACTATTCGATGCTGTTCGATGTTGAATCCCGATGGTGTGTGCTGCTGCTTGCCGCTGACTCCTGATGCTTGCTGCCGGTCGCTGCCGACTGCTGCTGACTGCTGCTGGTGATGTTAATACGTGCTGCTGCTGCTGCTGCTGCTGCTGCTGCTGCTGCTGCTGCTGCTGCTGCTCGCCGTTGCTGCTGACTGCTGCGGGCTGCTGCTGCTGCTGATGCTTCATTGCTGCCTGATGTTGCCTGCCTGCATCTTACGCTCGACGATGGTACTCAGGGCCACTCCGCAGCGGTCTGAAAGCTGCGGACCACGCGGCACCGCCCAGTGCGGGTGAATTGGTATGCAGGGTACCCCGCTCGCAAGCGCGACTCCCAGCAGTATCGACATGATGACGTTGGGCTCCGACTTCGCCTCCCAGGTCTCGCCGAGCAGCGCCAAGGCCCGCTGCCATTGCCTGCGTTTGCTGCACGCGCCAACAGTCGCAATGTGACAGCCTAGACCGACTTCCGAACGGAGTCGAGCCGCGTCGCGGAAGAATCGCAGCGCTGCGCTCCACTGCTTTGTCCTCACACACTTCTTGATGGACGCTTCGGAAGAACCAACTTGCCGTGATCCTGGCCCGATGTCTACCATCCGAGGAGATCTTAATCAGCCATGGCTTGAACCAGAGTTTGCAATTGGGAGGGAATGGGAGGAGAACAAGGGAGGCCTCCAGAGGTCCCCGAAGGCCTTCGAGGTGCCTTAAGGTATACAGATGCCCCCAGAGGCTCGAAAAGTAAGGGGAACATCCAAAGCCTCCATGAACGATCATCCTTCGGGGGGAGGAGGATGAGGAGCCCGTTTTGGATTTAGGAGTGTGCCTCTTTGGGTTCGCCTGCCCTCGTCTTTGCATGTGTGCACTGCCCCACCTGTTTGCTCGCCTTCTTTGCATGGGCTGCACAACTCCAGCCCTGTGGACCGACCGACCGACTGGATGCGCAACGCCTGCAGCTTAGTAGAGCTGCGTCCCTATCAAAATGAATCTCTGTCGCTGCAGCGATTGGAGCCTTCACAGGCAGCAACGTGCTAGACGAGATTCCTGAAGCTCGGTCGCGCTATGTCGCGCTGCAGCGACGCGGGATTCTAGCAGAAGCGCTGGAGGGAGGAGGAGGAGCAGGAAAGAAGCCCCCCAATCAAATTGCCCCACACGTAGAGGTCCGGGGGCCTCTGCGCAAATGAGAGCACGCCAGCAGAGACGCCGACGGCCAGGCCAGGCCAGGCCAGGCCCCCGGTCAGATTGCCCCCCCGAGGCGATCCCCAAGAGCGACCCCGTGGCCGCACCGAAGGCCCGCAGGCAGAGGCTCCCAACTGCGGGTGCGGCGGACCTGGGGGGGAGGAGGAGGAGGAGGAGGAGGAGGAGGAGGAG